AGGGGGAGAGAGAGGGAGGGGGAGAGAGAGAGAGAGGATTTATTTTAGAGTTGGCCTTCATAGTTGAAGGGCTGGCAAGTCTGAAATCTGCAGAGCAGGCCAGCAGACTGTAGACCCAGGAAAGAGTAAATGTTGCAGCTCAAGTCTAAGGACAGTCTGTTAGCAGAATTCCTTCTTCCTCGTGGGACCTCAGTTATTTTGTCTTAAGGCCTTCAACTGATTAGATGAGGCCCACCCACAGTATGGATGGTAATCTGCATTACTCAAAGTATATTGACTTAAATGTTAATCACATCTAAAAAATACCTCCACAGCAGCCCTTAGACTGGTGTTTGACCAAACAACTGAGCACCACAGTCTAGTGAAGCTGACACATAAAATTAACAAGGCACAGTGCCTAGTGAAGTTGACACACAAAATTGACCATCACAGTATATCATACACATACCCCCACATCTCTCTCTCTCTCAAACACTTACTCAATAAAATCATAAGTTCCTTGAACCCTCCAATTTTTTTTCTTTCCACATTCACCTTGTTGAATTTTTAAGCTGATCTCTTCGTCTTTCTCTGCGACTAACAAGCTACTCTCCAATTCTGGCTCACTTTCAGTTTATATGTGTTCTGTTCCCACTGTATGCCTGGTAATGAATAAAATTGGACTCCTTGTTCCTAATAAATAACACATGCTATCAGTCCTCTAGTAAACTCTAAGGGATCTCTTATTCGTTACCTATTCCCTATCTACTTTCTATAGTAGTTGTTATAAATATTTTCATAAACCAAACCCCCAATATTATTACTTCCTTCATCAGCCTTGAAATATAGGACTTGCCACCATCTCTTGCTAAAATCAGTTAATACCTGCAAATTAATGTCAGAATTCCTCTGGACCCTGGCATTTCAGTTCTTACATGACCAGTCTCCAGTTTCTAATTCTAGCCACATATTTCACAGTAACATGGATCTGATACTTCAAAAAAGCTGATTAGCACCTTTCCCTCAAATAACGCTCTTATCCTACGCTTCAAAATGAGCACAGTGACTTGTACTCAAATATTTGATGGTCAATTTCTAAATAAGTGAATGCATTCTTTCATCTATTCTTCTTTCTCAAACTTTTAAAATCCACTCAAGCATCCACTCAAGTGTTACATTATGTTTTTATGTCTGACTTGATCAGATTGCTCCTGTCTCAGGAAAAATTCCCCCTTTTTTTTGCCTGTCTATTCATAGTATTTAGGGTTTTTTTTGTGTCACTCGTCTGGTATGTATCTTCTGCCTTTTGGAAAACTGCTTATGCAGCACTCCAATAGGAAGTAAGCTTCTTGCTCTGTTTACACGGGAATTGGGTACTCCATTAGCGTAGTGTTTCACACAGTGCTATTGAGAGACAGCAGGTAGATGGGTGAATAAATGGGAAGAGAGATGAAAGAATGGATAAATGAAAAGTAAACGTTATCAGTAGATTTTTGGTAGTATTCCATTGATGCTCTAGCCAGTCAACTCTTTCATTCTATAAAATACCATAAAACATTTTCTAAATATAAAGTGTTCTCTTTAGGCTCAAACTGTTATATTAGATGAGAGGAAATCAGAATTTAAAACACACACATAACAAAAAATAAACTTATTTGTAAGTAACAGAAGAAAAGGCATAGATTTTATTGAAAAAGAGCAAAAAAGTAAGTGATTTAGTTAACTCACTGTTCCTTAAAAAAATATTTAAAAGGAAAAGTGTGGTGGAGAGGGGTGAACAGTAGATTTTACGATGAAGATGTTAGCTCAGCCCTCCAAATGAAAACGTAAATGCGACTGTTATGACAAAACACAGTCTAGCACAACACAATGCTACCTGTAGAAAGGAAGTTGACCTTTAAAGGAAATCTAATAAAATAAGAAGTTAAAAGCCTTCACAAGCACCAGATACTTTCTTTTAACCATGACAAGTATGTTCCCAAGAGATGATTCACCAACATGAAACAAATGACTAGTACCTAATGTTCTGGGAAAAACCCACAGTATCACACTGAGGAGAAGTGAGTAAAGGGGATTTACTGCTTATAGCCTGGTCCCCAACATTTCCCCTCCTGGAGACCACCCCAAAATAGTAGTGTATCACAATTTTAAAGAAAACTTATTTTTTTTCTTTTAAGTTGAATTTAAAATGCATACAAAACTCTTATATTTCTTTAGAATTGTGTAGGATTCTTCTATTTATGTACTCCCAAGTGAGGTAGCAGAATATCACTTTTATTTTTGTACTTTCATTTAGGTAATAAATAACTTGACAACACTGAACTAAGTCTTTCACTTCTTCTTCTGTTTAAAATTTTTAGTTTTTGCCTGATTCTGAAATTACAGCCCCTGTATATTCTTAGTTAGTGGCTGCTTCCCCATTGTTTGGGAACCCCACAAGGCATATTCGCATTTATTTCACAGAGTAACTTGACTCTTTTAGCCAGGATGATTTCTTAGGGTCATGATTTGGTCAGATGATATTTCATTGAATTAGCCAAATTAGACATACTGTACTCAACTTAATGTCCTTCAGGTTTGAACAGGGGGGTGGTAAGAGTAATACATCTTTGATTATGATTTTAAGAGCCACCAAGTCACTTGCTTTTCCCAAAGAATCTGTTAGCAACCAAATAGAAGCTTCTGTTTTTATTACAAACACCGTTTGCATAGATGGGCAATGGAGATTAAAAAGGGACCACGG